TGTAGGGAAGGAGAAGGCTGGGAAAAGCTTAGGACATAGGTGGTGAACCAGGACTTGGGCAGCACATTGAAAACAAGTAAAAAGCCACATGGACTGCCCCTGGGGCCTCGATGGCCCCTCAGCAGCTCCCCATGGGGAAGAGGCCTGAACCTGACCCCAAGCAAAGCCCTTAAGGCTGGCTTTAGAGCTGGAAGGGCCTTTGGTGGTCATGTGGTTCACTCCCTCGATTTACAGGTACAGAGGTGGAGACCCAGAGCCATGAAGTGGCTGGCCCAGGGCCATAGAGTAGGTGGCAAAGCCGCAGTTTTAACTCAGGTCTTCTGACTCTCAGAAGCAGCATGGAGAAATAGACGGAGTGCCAGACTTGTAGCCGGGAAGATCCGAATTCAAATCCTGTCTCTTGACACTGTTGTGACCTTAGCAAATCACTTCTTGCCCCTGGGCCTCTGTCTGTGAACATATAAAATTAGGAAGTTGGACTAAGTGACCACCAAGGGCCCTTTTAACTCTAAATTGAAGATCTTATGATTCCAAATGTAGTGGGTTTTTCCCCAGGAGTCTGCTTTGTACCAAGTCCCTAATGTGAGTGGGGTCTCTGAAGTTAACTCTGCTTTCTGTGGAGTTCAAGAAGAAATATAAGATACCATTTTGTACAGTTTGAGTAGGTGTGTTAGGTCATTTTTTCAGCCGTGTCCAACCCTCTGTGACCCCATTTGAGGAGCTCTTGGCAAAGATACTGGAGTGGTTTGGCATTTCCTTCTCCAGCTCATTTTATAGAGGAGGAAACTGAGACAAACCAGGTGAAGTGACTTGCTCAGGGTCATGGCTAGGAAGTGTCTGAGGCCGGATTTGAAGATGAGTCACTGATGTGGAATTACTCCATATTGTGCATTTCCCTTTGAATCACTTTGGGCATGGGAAGTTTAGTCCTTTATTTTAATGTCCAGTTTAGCCAGGAGCAAGGGTGAATCCCATTGTAGACAAGGTTGTGTGGACCTTAGTCACCAGAATTCATCTAAGGGTCTTGGAGGGACAGGCTTTTCAACTGTCCAAGTGATGATGGGGTGACAGGCCCTCTTAAGTGAAGCAGCCTGGGCCTAATTGGAATAAAAGGACTGACTTTGAATTCCAGGTCTGGCTTTGAATGCCACTTACTAGTTGTGTGACCTTGAGCAAGTGTTGTTACCTTTTGGACTTCAGTTTCCTTGTCTGAAAAGTGATGAAGCTGCCCTAGAAGGTGCTGCCTTGCCTCCAGGGCCACACCTGTTCAGTGGAAGCCCTCTCCTACAGTGCCACCTAGAGAACTAGGTAGAGGAATGCCTGTTAAGAGTCATTCATTACACGCAGGTTCGGACCCAGGTCAGTGCACTGTAACACCTGCTAGCAAAGGCTTGTTCTTTGGCCCTACCTCCTCCCTACATGCCCACCTGCATGGTGATATAGACTCAGATAACTAGTTCTTGGGTAGAGTGTCCAGTTTCTGGGGCTTAACAAGCTTACTCATCCTCTGAAATTAGAGCAGGTGTTCAGTGTCTCTATCTCTCAAGAGGCCAGAGTTTTAGAGTTGTCAGCTGGCCATTGATCGAACTGAAATGAAGACACCCCCAGTCTCACCCTAGGAGTGTGTTTTATTAGCCACTAAAACAGGGTGGTTTCCAGCCCACAGGGGCTCCAGGGATTCTTCTGTTCATGTCCCAGCTCCGACAGTTAACAGTGAATCTGGGCACTAGCAGGTATAGGGGTGCATAGGGCTGAGCTTTCTGAGCACTCTTTGGCACAACCTTGTTGGTGATGATGGTGGTTACTCCTCTCCACCCCTTCTCGTCTCTACCTTCCTGGGTCCTGTTCTGGACTGGCCAAGCTTTCTGCTGGCTGGCAGCTGATCCTGTATTAAGTTGTGGCATAAGGTGTTCCTTTTCTCGGAGACCTTTGTATAGTATGAGAAGATTTAAGACCCAAAGAAGTGATAGGATTGCAGCATGGGAATGAGGAGGGTATCTTTGGGCAGGGGGGACTCTTCAAGCAACACTCTAGGCAGTCCCAGAAGGTAGGCCCTGGTGCTTCATCTCAGAAAGGTCAATCTTGCTATAAGGCTATAATCCCTCCAGCTGCCCTTATATTCCCATCACTTCCTAGAGCTTAGAAACTAGAATAGAGAAATGATAGAGCAGAAAAATGTCCCTCCCAAAGAAGGCATGGGAAAGGAGGGGGTCCAGGGCTTGCAGGAGTCCTTACAGAAGAAGAGTGCTTACTCATTCAGGGGCTCAGTCATGTCCAGATAGGCTCTGAGGGAGGTCTGGCAGGATCCCTTCCCTCCAGAAAAGCACCTTCTAGAGTTAAGGAACAAGCTCTTTCTAGACTTTGACTGGTTGAAGAGCCCTCACTGTTGGCTGGAATGGGATTTGAATGATGGGGAGGAGCCGAGGCCGGTGGACGCAGCCCCTTTGAAACCCTGAGGTGCCCTGGTCGGCCTCTTGTTCTTTGTGGGCCACTCTCCTGAGCTCCCTCGCTCGCTCTTGTGACTTGGAGCTCTGGCATCTCTTGGTCTGGCTCCAAGCTCCTATTCACTTGAGGATTTGAAGGTACCCTTTGTAGCCTGGGGGCTAGGCCCTTGTCATTGATCAGCCAGAGATTTGTGCAGGAAGTACACAGTAAGACTGCCCTGCCCTGAGCCTCTTGGGAGCATCGTGAGTAAGAAGATGGGGGCAGGCTGTTATAGAAAGAGAATGGAACTTGGTCAGAAGGCTTGGGTTCAGATCTCGTCATGGCCACTTATGGCTGGCTCTGTAACAGTACAGAGTGCCTTGCTCTTTCTGACCCTCTGTTTCTTCATAAGAGCTGACATTTATAAAGAGCACTTTACAGTTTTAAAAGCATTTTACAAATAAATCATCTCATTTGGTCTCCTATCTGTCCTTGGGAAGTGGGTAGCCCAGGTATAACCTCCACCTCCAACTGAGGCTCCCCTGGACCTCTGTGGTTCAGAGTGCTGTCCCCTCAGGGTGGTGGTAGGTGCCTCAGAGCCTCTGGCTCTGGACTTGCCCAATCTGAGCACTGCAGCACCAGATGGCTGCCCACAAGTCACCCCCGAGCTTCCCTGGATTCCACCAGGGGCATCTGATCACAGAGCCTTGAAGAGCACATGTGTCAGTCTCCTGTCGAGGTAGGCAGCTGCCTTTTGCTGGCTCTGTAGGAAGGCCCCCTTTCCTCGTGGCCATGGGCTTCTGCTGATGTTTTATGTGCTTGGGGGAGAAGTCACTTCTTGTAGTTCCTCCTTGAATTTCTTCATCATTGTCCAGCCTCACACAGATTTCAGGGGTGTAGTGGAATAGGAATAGGAGAGCCAGGTGGAGGCTGGCGCCACCTTAGCAGGGTGTCTTTTACTTGATCTTCCCAACAAGCCTATGAAGTAGGTCAGACACTGTTCATTATCTCCATTTTATTGCTAAAAAACAGACTCAGAGAGTTAAGTTGCCCCAAATCCCACAGCAAGTAAGGGCAGACCTGGGCCTTCAGCTCTGGTCTTCAGGCTTAGTTTAATTCAGAAAGCATTTGTGAAGTGCCTAAAAATCTGGGAACAAAGCCAGTACCTGCCTTCAAGAAGCTTACACTCTACTGGGATAAAATAACATGTCCAAAGGGAAAGCATACAAAATATACACACAATGAGATTAGAGGGGAGAGTCAGGAAAGACTTCATGTGGGAGGTGGCATTTGAGCAGAACCTTGACAGAAGCTAGACAGATATAAGGTAGTGAGGACAGACTGCAAAGAAAGGCATGGGGCTGGAGATGAAATATCATTTGTGGGAGACATTAAGCAGGCCAGTTTGCCAGCCCATATACTATGTGATGGGGTTCAGAAGTGGGGAGACTAGGTCCAGATTGTGAAGAGCTTTTACTGCCAGAGTCTTTTGTATTTTATCCTAGAGGCCATCGGGAGGGAGGGAGCTTCTGGAACGGGAGCAAGCCCTATGGTCAGACCTGAGCCACCATTGGGTCACCATCTTGACATCTGTGTGGAGGATGGCTTGGAAAGGGGAGACCACTAGGAAACTATTGGAGATGAGAAGTGATGAAGGCCTGAACTAGGGTGGGAAGGAGCCTTGTGAGAGGGCACGAGTAAATGATTGGATGTGGAAGCTAAGGGAGAGAAAAGAGTTGAGGATAACCAGCAAGGAGCCAATAAGCCAATAAACATTAAGTGTCTACTGTGTGTCAGCTAAGTACTGAAGATAGTCCCTGCCCTCAAGGAGCTTACAATCTAAAGACTCACCAGGATATAGGAAATGCATGTGATAGAATGGACCCTCAATGGTACCTGGCACAGGGGCATCTTTTTCCCTGGAGTTGAAACCAGACTGGGCATCAGATGCAAAGTGAAGTGAGCTGAGAGTACAGTTTCTTCCCTATATAAAGGAAGGCATTGGGAGGAGTTTAGTGCTCCATCCTTGAGCCTCCAGTCAGAGTGGGAGGTCAAGGTTTGAGTTAGCCCTGGGTAGTGAGATTAGAGGTGATGAGCTTATCCTGGGAGAGGCAGCTTGAGTTTGTGATACCTGTGGGGCATCCAGGTGGAGATGTCCAGTGAGCCATTGCTGAGCCATGTCTGGAGCTCAGGAGAGAGTACACGAATTCTCATCCGGTATTAGAGGGAGAGGGCTCTTCCTGTCTAGAGAGCTGTGAAAACACATTGCAGCGCCCTTCCTGTAGTGCTCAGAGTGTACTCTCAGGAACTAGCATTTTATTGCACGGTGTCAGGAGTAGGATTAGACAGAACCAGCTGTTGTTACTAGTTGTTCCTGTGCTAGCTCTTGGGGGTCACCTGTACCTCCCTGCCATGTGTTGCTGGGGTAAATGCCCATAAGCCAGGCTCTGGAGAGAGACTAAAATGGGATGACAACTCAGCCCTTGTCATTTACGAACTTCTTCAGATTTCCCAGCTCATTTCTCTCAGTAATAGACTTTAAATGTGTCTCTGGATTTTTCCCATCATCTTCTCAGGATCCATCTGTGACCCAGCTGACCAATCCTCAGGGTGGCCTGTCGGAATTCAACCCTTTCTCAGAGAATCCCCGGCTGGTAAGTGTGCCCTTCTGTCTCTCTCACCATGACAGTGCCCATTCCAGTGTCATCATGCACACATACCTCATGGTTCCCTCTGTAGCCTCGGTGCCGTGTGCCTGGGCCCTGTTTTGGGCTAGTGGGATAAACGAGGAGGCAGCTCTGATGACATCTGCTAGCCCTAAATGCTCTAGAAGGAACAACTTTAAAGAAATGTATAAGTCATCCCGGGAGTTCTGGTAGACTCTCAGTGAGGAATGATGGGGGGTTTTACCCCATTGGAAGGAGGTTTAAGCCATTAAAATTCCTTTCTCCGGAGTAGAAAGGATGAAAAAGCAGGTGAAAACAAGTGTTGTTCCTATAACTCGTTGGGTCATAGGAATGCTAAATTTGGCCTCATATTGACCTTATATCTTCAGGACAAGAAACCGGGGACGGCCTATAGCTTGAGAGCTGAGATCCCTGGTCCAAAGGGGATGGCTTAATCAAGGCTGTCCCAGTGTGTGGTTCCTTTCACCCCATAGGTGCGTCTGCTACTGCTTGCTTATCCTTTCCAGAGGTCCTTGTGTGTGGATGTTTGGTGGGGTTTGTCCCTTCCTTACACCTGCAGGGCCCACACGCACTCATCTCCCTCTTTAGTCTTTTCCTGTCTCTTCCCTTAGACAAATGCAGCGGCAACAACAGTCTCAGCCTCCCAGCCCACTGGGCCGTCACAGCCTGCAGTTCTTCAGCCCTCAGTGGAACCGACCCCCCAGGTACTGTCTAGAAGCAGCCCCCTGCCCCTCAGAAGCACTACCCTTCAGCAGGGTTGGGGGGGAGCACGTCACTGTACATTGCAGACCTGCCTTGCCATGGTTTTCAAGAGGAGGGACACAATCTCATGTTTTTCTAATTCAGTTCCATTAGGGAAGACCAACATATGGGATCTCCAGATTATTTTGAGCGCTCTCTCTCTCTGGAGGCTGTCAGCTGAGTCCTGGTCAGGGAGTCCTGTGGCTGTGGCTTATCTTCACTTACCCAAATGGGAGTCCCAGGGCTGGGGAGGGAGAAGGCCGAGAGACTCTGGATGTATTCAGAGTGAAATATCCCCTGGGGTTTGGGCCTGCCTCCTGCCTGGGCACCCAGTCTCTCTTCCCTTCTTCAGTGGCTGGCTTTCCTGATGCTCTTGAAGGTGATAGAGAGTTACAGAATTGTAGAATCAGACACAGTGTAGTTGTATGTTGTAGCTCTTGCTTAGACAGGCTGACAAGTACCTACGTACCACATTGCTAGCAGTGAGTGGGTTCACAGAGAGACACCTGCTGCCAGGCAGAGCTGGTGTTCTGAATGGCAGCCACATTGGAAAGCTTCCTAAGGGCAGGCATTTAGCAGAGATGTGAGACAGTGAGAGCTCCCTTCGAGCTCCCTGAGCTGGTGCCCCAGCCCAGCTGAGCTGGGTGTGCTCTGGTACCCTACGTGCCCACCCAGAGGAGACTGCTGTCTTCCCAGAGCCTGACCAGGTCACCTCTGCAGTTCCATTGTTCCTAGAACTCAGTTCTCAGCATTATGCAGTAGCAAGAGCACTGGGTTCCACATCCTGCCTTTTGACAGGGATTAGTGTTGGTGTGACCTGGGGTAAATTCCTTCCCCCTCTGCGCTTCAGTTTTGTCATGTACACAGTGAAGGAGCTGGGCCTGGCAGCTTCCAGGACCCTCTCTTGCTCCTGATTGATGGTCCTGTGATCCCTCCCTGTCTTCCATGACTGCTTTTACTTAGCTCTGGGGAAGACCAGAGGTCTTTGATTTGAATCCTGACCCCAAAGGCCTGGGTACTTTCCTTCTGGCCCCCATGCCTCATCTGGAAAGTTTAGGGTTGAACTAGATAACTTCAAAGGCCTTTCCCGTTCCTAGGACCCTATTTAATAAATCCTTAGAAACCCTGCACAAAAGCAGCCTTTCCCATGAGCCTGCCTTGGGGCAGGCCCCCCGCCACCCCAGACAGCCCTGGTCAAGGCCCTGCTTCTCCATTTGCAGTTCACGTGAACAGAGGTGTTTATGGGGCCCACACTGGGCTACAGGCCCACAGGCTGGAATCACAGGCTTAGCAAGGGGAAGGGGCCGGAAGCCCTGGAGCTTGTTCCCTGTGACTCCCAGGCCCTCCTCTGCCCTGGACTCCTGGGCCATAACCACCAGAGGCTGCTTTGGAAGGCATGCAAACAGCCCACCCAGAAAGGTCGCATGCCTGCATGCCCATGTGGTGTCCACCTCTTTTCTTCCTCAAGACCTGTGGGACTGGGAAAGGACTGGAACGTGGATTCTTTCTTCAGGAAGGCCTGGCTTAAGCAGCCACTGACTAGACCCAGGGGAGCAAATTTCCCACCCTTTCCATAGAGGAGAGGGACAGTATGGTTCTATGCCTTTGACCATTGGGGGATAGCCTAGTGTTGGGTAGAGTATATTCACGAGATTCAAAGGCTGTGAGTTGGACTTGGCTTTTCTTCCTCTTCCCCATTCCAGTCTACAGATAGGGGTGATGTGCTCTAACCTCAGCATCCCAAGCTTCCTGCCCAGTGTGCCTAGGAGAGTAAGCTTTTGACTCCAAAAGTCCCTGCAGCTAGACAGAACTGAGCTGAGCCAGAGGGAATTCTGTACCTGGGCAGGGGGAGCTCAGAAAGCTTGGTGGGTCGTATGTGTACAATCAGCACTTCTCAGCCAGAGCGTCCAGTTGAGGTCTACACTTGCCCCTCAGGCTGTAAAACATCATCTTGTTGGGACTGTGTTGCTCCTTCATGAATTCCCTTCATCTTTCGTCATGTGATTTCATCTCACCCATGTGTCAGCAGGCCTGTGGAGCACTGAGGGGATAGTTCTCCCACCTGGGCTCTGTAGCTGTGGATATAATTGGGCTGGGGTGGAGGATAGTGGAAGGTGGGAAACGAGCCTGTAGGAATCCCTCTGATCTCCTGGAGATTGGCTCACAGTGCTCTTTGGGGGCCTGACACCATGTCTGAGGCTCAGTGCAGAGCTGTCTTCTGTGAGTGGCCACAGGGGCTCCCTCTGACTGCCTGCTCAGTTGAAGCTCCGTTTTCTTCCTGGGCATCTGCTTCCTGTAGGCTGTGGCCTCTGCTGCCCAGGCTGGCCTGTTGCAGCAGCAGGAAGAGCTGGAGAGGAAAGCTGCGGAGCTGGACAGGAAGGAACGTGAGCTGCAGAATGCCACAGCCAACCTGCACGGTGAGTCTGGTTCCCTGCCTGGCCAGGTGTAATGACCCTACCGGCGTGATCTTTGTGGGAAGGGGTCAGATGGGGATCTGTCAGGTGGAGACTCCACCTCCTTTATTCAGGGATGTCATGGAAAAGGCCCTTTGGTAAATTGTTAATCCTAGCAGTGTTGTGTGGTGCACTCTGGGGAAAGGGCCAAGAACCTAGAAGTAGAAGGGGCTAATGTAGCCTGGCCCCAAGGACACGGTGCGGCCACTCTCCAGCATCTCTGCTCTGGGCAGATTTTCTGTGCCTCTGGCTCCCTCACAGATGAAGGAGATAGAGCTCTCTCCCTGCATTTTCTGGTTATGATTATATGCCCTGGACAAGAGGCTTTAACTGCTAATGAATGACAGTATTCATGTTTGTATAGTTTGCTAAGCTTTTTCAAAGCACTTCTATGCCTGGCAAATTCTTTGGAGACAGTTTCTAGAAAGTAAGCTATGAGTTCCTGTTTCCCCATTCCCTAACACCACTTTTGAGATTTGGGGTACTTTTGGCCACCCAGTTAGTCAAGAGCTATTTATTAAATGCATACTGAATGCTGGGCCCACTGAGTCTTCCTAAGACTTCTAAGAGCCAGACTTCCTCTGGCTCTGCTCCTCCAGCCTCCACCCTCTTCTGCTGTCGGAGGCTTCCTTACCGCTTTTTTTCCCTAACAGTGAGGCCAAACAATTGGCCCCCACTGCCCTCGATCTGCCCCATCAAGCCCTGCTTCTACCAGGATTTCTCCGCAGAGATCCCAGCTGATTACCAGCGAACGTGCAAGATGATGTATTACCTCTGGATGTGTGAGTATGTGCAGAGGCTCGAGAGGGGCTTGGCTTGGGCTGTGTGCATCCACAGGTGCATGACTCATCACCCTTTGGCCAGGATGGCGGCCCCTGCTGTGAACCACATTGGACTGTCAGCAGCTTAGAAAGCCTGGCTCTCCAAAGAGGACCACTGGTGTTTTCACTTGTGTTTTGGGGGAGTGGAGAGGAGGAGGCGTTTTGGTGGCCATTGGGATACCCTGTGTCTGATGGTACCCAGCTCTCCTCTCCCTCTTTTCCCGGTTATCAGAGTAGAAAGTGATCCAGAGAAGCCAAGAACTCCGGCTGCTCCTAAAGTGGCCCTTTTTTGTTAAAGTCTGCACAGCCTCATGGGAAGCACCTGGCTTTCTGTGGCCGCCAGAACCCAACCTGAAGTGCAGAGCATCCAAGGATGATCTCCTGCCTCCAGCTCAGGGACCAGAGAGAGAGATGGAGGGTGGACCTTTCTTTCTCTGAGGATTCTGTAGCTCTCCTGCGAATTTGCTTTGGAAGCTGTAAATGGCTTGGTTTCCCTTCAGGCTTCTTACATATCTCCCAGGAGGTGCTGCCTTAGAGCCCCCAGTTTCATGAGTTCATGAAGCATCAGGATGGAGGGAACTGACACCCTTTTGCTCAAATGCAGTTAGAAGCCTTCTTTCTGTTCATTATTCAGATATTTAGTAAGCCATTTGCTAAGTGCCTGCTGTGTGCAGAGTACAGTGCTGAGGAAGCAATAAAGGTAGATGGCAGAATGCTACCCTTGGGGACACCATGGGTGCAGGAGAGGGCTCCACATGAGGACTTGAGGCAGAAGCTGGAGTACCCTTGTGGGATGTGTCAGGATGTGAGCACAGTCCTTTTGGGCTGGGGTTGGATGAGGTGGCTGCCAGCCTTCCAGCTTTCCTGGTGGTCCTGGAGGGCCTGTGATTCCATGTCCTAAGAGGCAGCAGGTGAAGCCCAAGAAAAGGAGATCATGAAAGCGTAGGGGCAGGGGGCAGAGATGGGCAAGGACATGACAGAAGAGGCAGCCGGATGCTGTGGGAGAAAGTGTGGAAAAACAGGAGAGGCGTGAACAAGGCACAGGAAGCTGGTGGCTCTGAGGAAGACGTGGCCATTATCCTCCCTTGTCTCTGTGCCCTTGGGCCCCTCACTTCTTATCTTCTCTAACAGATTGCCCTCCTGGTATCTCCCCTCATTCTCCTTATCTACTGGTGCTGCCAAGGGTCATCCTGGATCTCTCCCCCTGTTCTGAGCCACGCTCCTTGAGAAAGCTGGCCGTCTGCTGACTTCTGACTACATTTTCCAAAGTCGCCAGTGACCTCTCAGCTGCCTAATATTTGGGCCTTTTCTCAGTCCTCATTCTTGTTGCCTTCTCTGCAGCCATAGATAACTATTGAGCTTTCCCTGTCCCGGCTTTTGTGACACTGCTCCCCTTTGGTTCTTTTCTTGCCGCTCTGACTGCCCCTTCTCCATCTCCTTTGCTGGGTCACATTCTACCACATGCCCCTGACTAGCCTCTCTTCTCACTTGAATTTAATTATCATCTCTATGCACCCTCTCTCTCCCCCTCCCCTCCCCCCTCTCCGCCCCTCCCTCCCTCCCCTCTCCCTCTCCCCCTCCCATCCTCCCTCCTTCCTTCCCTCCCTCTTCCTGCATCATCAGCTGCCAACTGGCCATGTATATATCCTGTAGACATCTCAAACATTGAAATCATTCTTTTCCCCCCAAATCCATCCCTCTTCTTGACTTCCCTGTTTCTGTTGAGGACCCCACCCTCAGGGGAACCTGTAGCCTCGAGGCCACACCTGGCCCTGTAGGTCCTTGGGTGTGGCCTTTTATTAAGGGGATTTGTTTGTGAAGTTTGGATTCCGTCAAAGGGCAGAGCCCAAGGACCACCTGGCCTGGAGGCCATCACCCACTTCACAGCTTGCCAGTGCTCACCTCTGGGTATCATCTTTGCTTTCACTGTCTACCTGGTCCCACACATCCCACTCAGTTGTCCCATCTTGTCTCTACCTCCCTCCTGTCTCTCCCCTCTGTCTCCTTCTGGGCATTCACAGCCACCACCGTAGTTCAGGCTTTCCCCTCCTCTCAACTGGACTCCTAACTACTCTCCCTGCTTCCACTCCAATCCAGCCTTCACACAGCTGCCCAAGGGCCAATCTGACCATGCCCTTCCCCTGCTCAGAAACCTCTGGTGGCTTCCTGTTACTTCAGGATCCAGTACAGCTTCTTCTGGCATTGAAAACATTTCACATAAGTATGTTTAATAGAAATATGTATGTAAAGCCTGTATCAGATTGTGTGCTGTCTTGGGGAAGGAGCGGGAGAAAAATTTTAAACACAAAAAAGAAGAAAAAAGAAAACATTTCACATGGTGCCCCCAGCCTGCCTTTCCAACCTTATTCACACACTGTGGTGCAGCCAGACTAGCCTCTAGCTGATGCTCACACCTGGCAGTCCATCTCCCAACTTTGTGCCTTTGGAATTGGCTTTTCCCCATACCTGGAATCCCCTCCCTCCCTCTCGAAGAATCCCTCATTTCCTCCAAGGGCCCCCTTCTCCAGGAAGCCTTTCCTAATGCCCCTGGCTCTTAGTGCCTTCCCTCCCAAATCACCTTGTGTCTCCTTTGCATATACCTTCATCTCTATGTGTTGCCTCTCCTGGCTGGAATTGTAAGTTCTTTGGGGGTAGGAGAAGGGACTATACTGCTTTTGTCTTTACATTCTCAGCAGCCAGCGCTGTGCCTTGCTCATATTAGGCACTTAGTACTTGTTAATTGAATTATGAAAATGTGACCATTGCCTGAGTTACTAAAAAGTCGACCTGTACATGCTAGCAGTGACCATACCCCCTCTACTATCTTGATTTCCCCAGTGCTGGACCCTGGTTCCTTCCCAGAGTGAGTGGGCTGGCCTAACTATCCTGGCATAATCTTTCTTGCCTCCTTCCCGCAGTACATTCAGTGACTTTGCTCCTGAATCTTCTTGCCTTCCTGGCCTCGTTCTCTGCTCACAATTATAGTGGAGTTGACTTTGGTCTGTCAATCCTGTGGTTTCTGCTCTTCACCCCATGTGCCTTCATCTGTTGGTATCGACCCATCTACAAGGCCTTCAGGCAAGTGGGGGGAAAGGGGGCAGGGGTGGCTTGGGCCTAGCAGGCCCCTCGGGCTGGTTTGACAGAGGTGATTAGCAAGCCAGAGCTGACAGTTTGGGGCTTTATCACCTGTAGGCTGGCACCATCCCCTGGGACTTGGCCTCAGTACCGCTCACGTGTGTGCCCAGGAAGCTGATGCCCTCTCTCTCCTTCTCTCCACAGATCTGACAATTCCTTCAGCTTCTTCGTTTTCTTCTTTGTGTTCTTCTGCCAAATAGTCATCTATGTCATCCAGCTGGTGGGTCTCCCGGGCTGGGGGAACAGGTAAGGCCGGGCTGCTCCCACCCTTGACTGCCTGACTCTTTTCCAGCTCTCTCTGTGCTCTGCTTCCTGCCAACTTCTTTGTACTGCCTCACCTACCCAAAGCTTAGCCCTGTGTCTCCGCTGGCCCCAGACCTCCAGCCTGCCTCCTGTCACTGGGTTTTACTGCTGCCTTTTGCCTTTAAGACCTTTGTACAAGAATGCTACCCCTCCACAGAAGGCCTTGGTCTGGAACAGAACTGGTCCCCTGTCCACAGGCTCTCAAGGTAGTTGTCCTTTGCTTTGGGTGATGAGCCACAGTCCCTTCCCATAGGCAAAGAGCTAGGGATCACCTTCAGGAAGGGATGGGGGAGCCTGGACACTTGCCTTCTCGTTCTTCTTGCTGTGAATGGAGGACTCTTTGGGCTCCAAACAGAAGAAGGTTTGGTCATTGGCATTCTCCACAATAGCTGGAGTCCCATGGGCATTACAGACATACAGGTCTGTAAAACCAGACCCTGAGAAAAGATCAGAATTGATGTTTTCTACCTGCCTCAGTGCCCACAAGAAATTGCAAACAAAGGTCAGGCCTGGCACTTTGCTCAGTCAGGACCTGGAATGAATGAGTTTCTTTTGCCTTTCCCTTTCAGCACCAAATCCTGAACTGGTAGGAGAGCTCCTTCTCCTCCTTCTCCCTCTTCCTCTTTCTGTTCTCCCCACTTTCCCTCTCTCCTTTTCTCTCCCTCTCTCTCTCTCTCTCTCCTCCTGTCTCTCCTCCTCTCCCTTCCCGCTCTTCTGTTCTCTCTTTTTCCCCTCTCTCTTTCTCTCCTTTTTTTCCCCCTCCTTCCCTCCCTCTCTCCTCTCCCTTCCATGTCTGTCTTTCTCTCTCTCCGTGGTCTGCACCCCGGCTCTTTCCTTTGCCCACTTTGCTACTTCTCGTTCTAGTCCTTTCTCTTTCAGCTTAGGGGCCTAGATGGATCACCATTCCCCTAGTCGAATCCCTGCCTGGTAGGAGGCAGGGTGTGGACGGTGATGATGGTTCCTGTCAGGAAGGCTGCCGTCCTTGGGGACACTGTGGATGCTTGGAGCTCTGTCACTAACTGCGGGGAGTCCCTAGGAAAGTCTCTGCGCTTCTCTGGGCCTGTTTCTTTGGTTGGGCCTTTCCAGCTGTGCTGTTCTGTGATTTTAAAAACGTTTTCTAGCCCCTCAGACATCAGTGACCTTTTGAACCCTCGTGCCCCAAGGGTGGTGGGCACTGAGAAAGGCCCAGGCTGTGCCCGAGGGCCCATCCCGCACCTCCATGGAGCCATCCTTCTTTCAGGTGGCTTTCTCGGTGGTGACAGTAGTTGGCAGGTTTGCTCCTTTGGAGTGGACCAGCAGGCATTTATTAAGCACTTACTGTGTACCAGGCACTTTGCTGAATGCTGGAGGGACAAAGACAAGCAAGAGATAGTTCCTGCCCTCAAGGAGCTCATCCTCTAAAGGGGGAGACTGAATGCAAACAACTGTGTCTGTCCCAGATACACGTTATTACATGTGAACTCTGTGCATGTGCTTTCGTTCTGCATCTTTCCCATAAGAAGACCCTGCTAGCATGGGGGGCAGGAGATTCTTGTAGAAGGTGGGATTTTAGCTGACACTTGGAGGAAACCTGGGAAGCCAGGAGGAGGCAGAGACAAGCAGGGAGAGCTCTGGGAGCGTGGAGGCTGGCCAGGGAAAATGCCAGGAACAACCAGCCAGGAGGCCAGTGCTGATGGGTGATTGCGTGTCTATGTCTGTGTCTCTGTGCGTGTGTGTGGAGAGGGCAGGGCTGAGTGAGGAAGCAGGATTTCATGTGACCTTGGAAACTGCTGGATCTGTCTGTCAGGGTAGCCTTATGATGAAGCTTACTCCACCCTGGCTAAAGGATAATAGTATCTTCCCCACCAGAAGGGCCTTTTCAGGCAGGTGGGGAGTCTGAGGCTTTCCAGGCAGAGTCTTGGCCTTTCTCCATCCTGCTTCCTTAGCTGAGCTCAGAAGGTCACACAGCTTCACCAACCCAGTGGACCCCTCCTCAGAACAGAAGGCATAAATATATCAAGTAAAATGCACAGGAATACAAAGGAAGCCAATCTGATGGAATTGCAGCCATCAGAATGGTTTTTAAAAACATATTCACAGACTCCCAGAAATCTGTCTGTGGCCCAAGGTTAAGAACCCCCAAATTAGGCTGTATACACCTGCCTCTGGTGGCATGGGTAAGGAAGAGGAGGAGCTAAAACCACCACCGGGTTTGGAACATGAAGGGCCTAGGGGAAGGACAGGCCCCTCGGAGATGGAGGACAAGCTGGTCACTGGGGAAAGATTTCATTCCACTTGAACATTGACCAAAACACCTGGCTTCTTGCCCCGGACCTGTCAGGGCCTGTCTGGTGAAGCCTCCTTCGTTGAAGCAGTGTTTGGCCCTGGGATAAGGCCAAGTGCTGTCCAGGCCAGCCCTCCCCATCATCATCATCCCTTCTCTTTTTCAGTGGCTGGATTGTTGCTATGTCAACAGTGAAGGCTGACTCTCCTATAGCTGTCTCGATCATCATGATGGTGGTGGCTGGCTTCTTCACCCTCTGTGCTGTGCTCTCCCTCTTCCTCCTGAAGCGGGTAAGTGGGTGTGCACACGAATTTGAGGAGGGAGAGGAGGATGGGGAGGAGCAGGAGGGGCCCTACGCCACAGAGGCCTTTGTTCATCTCTCTGCACTCTGTCCTCACACCAGTTAAGAGGGACTGAGTCCAGGAAAGGTCCAGGGCCTTGCCAACGTCCCCTGAGAAGTGTGGCGGGGATGGCTGTGCCATCACCTGACCGCTCTGGCGTTCTGGGTTGCTTTCCCGCAGGTGCACTCTCTGTACCGACGGACGGGCGCCAGCTTCCAGCAGGCCCAGGAGGAGTTCTCCCAGGGCATCTTTGCCAGCAGGACCTTCCGAAACACAGCAGCTGGCGCTGCCCGAGGAGCGTTCCAAGGAAATTAACCCTTCCTGGGCTGGTCGTCATCCTCTTCCTCACCAGCCCTTCTCTTCTTACTCCTCTTGCTGCCTCCTCCTGAGGTGCACTTTCCAGGGGTGCCTTGCTTAACGGTTCCTGCTGAGACACAGAAAGACACAGAGACGGCTCTCACCTTTGGCTCATCCTGTTTCTCAGCAGCCAGCCTTCCCTTCCACTTCAGGCTGGAAGGGAGGGTCGAGTTTTTTTATACATACATTTACACACACCTAGAAAAGTTAGCCCAGGTCTGTCTTTTCTTTTGTGTGTATGGTGATTCGGTGGGATTCCTGCCCTCAAGCAGAGGGTGGGGATGCCGTTTGTTTGGGATAGGTAGCACCTGGCTGGGCTTTGACTTGGGAGAGGGTCCAGGGCAGGGCAGAGGGGGCAGTAGCACCATCCTAGCATGGTGCCCCCTTCTGCAGGCCATCATCAGGAAGATTCTAAGTGGTCCCCAGCTTTTACCTTGGAGAAGGGACTAAGATTGTGTTCTCTTCTCCTTGACTGTTGCCTGTCTACAGGGAAAATTAGCATGTGACTTTATAGAGCCTGTAGGAGGAGTGTGGCAAGGCTGCTTTCTGGACACTAACTCATTGCCCGGAGTGGGGAGCAGCTCCATCTCCCCCTCCTTCCTTTAGGGCTCACCCCTGAGAGCCAAATGCTTTTGGATCATGTCAGCTGCCAGGCAGGGGCCATCCCTGCCTTGGGAGGAGCCCTGGAGTCACAGTCCTGAAGCAAGAAGTGCCTTAATAACCCCTCTCTCCCCCAAAGTGGGGAGCCCAGGGTCTGCCTTGGGGGCAGAGATGCTTGAAGACCCTGCTGGGAGCTCCAAGGGTGGGCATCTCTGGGAGGGAAGGGACCTCATTGGATCCATTCCCTTGCCACCAGAGACTCTTGGGCCCGTGTGCAAACCCTAACCCTCGTTCTGCTGCATTCCCTTCACCCTCTCTCCTTGCTTCCATCTCTTCTCCCTCCTCTGCCCCTTTCTGTCAGCAATAGACTGTCGCCTGGCCTGGACTGGAGAAGAACCATTCTTCCTCCGGGCTGCGCTCTCAGGAAGCTTAGCAGGGATTTGGGCTAAGCTCCAACCTTCCACGTCTTAGCTGTGAAGAGATAGAACCCTCAGCTGGGCCCCCTATTGGCTACCTATCTGCAGAAGCAAAGCGAAGGCCTAGCCCTCAGTACCGCCTCCTGATGAGCCTCGGGAGGGCAGGGAGTGGACTTGGTTCTGTGAGGGGAGGAAGTGCTCCTCCAATCACCTGGGGACTGGCCTGGGCTATGTGAACAGGCCCCGGAGCCCTGAAGCTGTTTGCCGGATTTCCCTCTGGATCCAAATGTATCTAGCAATAGTGGCAATGAATGAGATTTTAAGGCCTCTCTGCTCCCCATTTCTCAGATATATTTTGTCCTTCTCTGTGTACAGATGTATATGTCATGTCTTAACTTTGTGCTTTAAATAAAAACAGTGTGGATGGAGAAATGGAACCTTTCTCAGTGTGCAGACTTCTGTCCCTGGAAGCCGGAAAATGGGGGAGGTACCGGCAGGGGGAAGATTGTCCCACGTTTGCTAGGTTTGCCCTTAAAAGGGGAGACTTCCTGGGCCCATGTGACAAGGAAGATCAAGGCATTCAGGTGGCATTGGAGTTTAAAAGATGGAAGCTTCCTGCTGTGTGACCTTGGGCAAGTCAGTTCTGCCTCAGTTTCCTCATCTGTGAAATGGGAATAATAGTGCCTCTCTTACAGGGTTGTCGTGAGGATCAAATAATGCAAACCTTAAAGCGCTATATAATTGTTAGCTATTTAATGATAAAAGAGGGTCCCGCATTGACTTTAATCTTTTAATCACTCGCCTTCTAGAAACTAGCCAGGGACAAAGGTTTTAAAAGCAAATACTAGTTTTGCTTGATTATGCTGTATTCGGCCTAAGTTTTTATTCATTTTTCCGTTGAGAGGAGGGAGGGGCAGGAGCGCCCGCCACCCTCTCTTAACGTGAGAACGGAAGGGCTTAGACAAGCCCCGCGGCTCGAAAAGCTCGGTGAATTACGTCTTTTAGGAGGACAAGCGCGCTCCGCATCCTTCAGGGGCAGCTTTAGGTGCCATCCTTCCCTGTGGTGGAGATGGAAATGCCCATCTTACTGGTGTTTTAAGTTCAGAATTAGGATAAGAAAAGATAAAAGGCAGATGGTCCTGGGAGAACCGTGGCCTGAGGAGCTGCAGGGACGTCGCGAGGAGGGGGCTGCTGAGCGGGGGCTAGGACTCTTCTGTGACCTCCCCCCGCCCCCGCCCCGCCAGGGAAAGGAAAGGGGAGGCCTGGGGTGGGGGGTGGGGGCGGAGGCACAAGAAGGCCAGCGGGAAGAGCCGTGGCCGGGCTGCGGGGCCTCAGTTTCCCCGCCTGTAGAGGGACGGCTGCGGGCTCCGCGCGGAGACTCCGCGGCACGCTCCGGAGAACGACCGCCTTGCACTGCTCACGGCCGGCGCTGGGGGCAGCGCGGAGCCGGGCCCGCAACCAGGAAGCGGCAGCCAGGCCTGAGCTGCCGAGCGCCGCGCACGGCGGGGCCGGGGCCAGGGCCGCGACCACCATGGCTGGGCCCGGCTGGGCGCCCCCGCGCCTCGATGGCTTCATCCTCACCGAGCGGCTGGGCAGCGGCACGTACGCCACGGTGTACAAGGCCTACGGCAAGGTGGGGGGCGGGCGGGCTCGCGGGGGCGGGGGGGGGGCGCTCAGGGGAGGGGCCCTGGAGGAAGGGGAGAGAGCCCGGACCAGCCTCAGGCTTCCCGGTGCCCGGCTTGGGGTACTCCTCGGCCCCCCCACCCCAGGCCGGGAAAGCGTGGCCCTCCCGAGCGGCCCATTCCGAGAAGTGAAACCGGATTTGGAAGGGCCTCCCCGCTCCGGAGCTGCCCTGGAAGGGGGTGGGGAGGGCAAGGCTAGGGAGGGCTCGGGAAGGGGCTCCCAGCCGGCCCCGCATGGCCCAGACCCTTGGGCTCCCAGGACTCCAGCCCTACCCGGCCGGGCCTGGCCTGGCCGCTTTTTTTACCTCCCAGGTGTTGTGGATGGGGAAATGCTTGGAGGCTTTGCTCCTCATTGTCATTTCCATTCCATTCCCCAAGCCCTAGAGTCAGGGGTACCGAGGCAAAAAAAAAAAAAAACCCAAAACCATCCCTCCCTGCCCTCCATGAGCTTCCATTCTCCTGGGGTGGAATACAGCGTTCACACAGATAAAGGAAGAAAAGTCAAATTAGGGAGCCTTGTTAACGAGAGAGACCAGGGAAGGCTTCTGGGAAGGGATGCCTGAGCTGAGCCACAAGGAAAGATGCTACTTCTCATTAATAACAACAGTCAACCATTCCACCCAAATCCTACTGGGCCGCCTCCTCGTGCAGGAAGTGGAAGGGCCCACGGCAAAGCCTTCCTCAAGGAGCTGTCCAAAGTAGAAGGTGTGCGTTCTCGCTCTGTAGGGGTCTTCCAGAAGAAGACAGGCAGCTTATCCAGATGCCAGGGTAGGGAGCCCCTGAGGTCCCTGGTTCCACCTCTCAGATACATGGGCTCTGTGTGACTGTGGCTTCCATCCCAGGCAGGGCTGTTACTATCAGTTCCGTCTCCTGACTTTGTCATTTAAAGCCTTTCCCAGTCTCTCTCCAACCTAATGTTCAAAGATAATTACATGTTATACCCCTTCACGCAATCAATATTCCAGCAGAACTGGCTTACTTGTATTTCCTGTACGCCACATTCAATATCTCTCATCTTCTGTGCCCTTTGCCCAGTTCCTCCTCGGCTCTGTCTCTTAGAAAGCCACCCTGTAGACACTAGCGGAGTAACCCTGGGCAAGTCATTTAACCTGTTTGCCTCAGTTTCCTAATCTGTAAAATGGGTATAATAATGGCACCTACCTCCCAGGGTTGTTGTGAAGATCAACTGAGATTATACTTGTAAAGTACTTAACACAGTGCCTGGCATATAATAAGGGCTATGTAAATGACAGCTACTATCATTATTATTATAATTTGCAGCTTCTTTCAAGGCTCAGTTCAAATGCTACCTCCTACCAAAAGCTTTTCCTGATTTTCCCAGTAGTTGGTGCTCAGCATATGTAAAATGAAATGAAGGAAATTTTTTTTTGTATAAAGTTTGTATTTCTTTCCTGTGTGTTTGTTTCTCGGTCCCTCCCCCCAACAGAACACAAGCTTTTGAGGGCAAGCCTGATTAGTTTTTGCCTTCGTATTCTCCAGTGCTGAGCATGGTGCCTGACACATAGTAGGTGCCTAAAAAATACTAGTAACTGAATTGAGCGTAATGTGAGCAGAATGGGTCAGGGCTGAGGAGGTGATTTCCTGTCTTTGGAGGTGTGCCTCTCTGGCTGCTTGGATGACCCAGGGCATGGGATGAAGGGAAGCTGGGCAGGTCTCTCTGTCCCAGGGACTGCCCCCCTAATCAGGGTAAGTTCACCTTTATCTCCCCGTCTGTCTCTCCAGAAAGATACTCGGGAAGTGGTAGCCATCAAATGTGTGAGCAAAAAGAGTCTGAACAAGGCATCGGTGGAAAATCTGCTGACCGAAATCGAGATCCTCAAGGCTATTCGGCACCCCCACATTGTGGAGCTGAAGGACTTCCAGGTCTGTGGATCAAGGGGGAGAGGGGAGAGAGGGAAGGAGGGAGGTGGTCATGGCCCTGGGAGGGCAAGGGTGGCCTAGGATCACTAGTGGTATAGGGAACAGGCATTTTGTTAGGTTTATTATTAGTATAGCCAGCATTCCTCTAGGCCTGCTCTGTGCCAGGCACTGTGCTAAGTGCTTAAAATGAGTTCATACTGGTAAAGCTTGTACTTGGCCTCATTTTAAGCACTTAGCACAGTGCCTGGCACAGAGCAGGCCTAAAGGAATGCTAGCTATACTAATAATCACAACCATTATTATTATGTCCTCACAACAACACTGGGAGGTAAGTGCTATTATTATCCCCATTTTACAGGTGAGGAAACTGAGGCAGACAGAGGTTAAGTGGCTTGCCCAGAGTCACACAGCCAGTAAGTGTTTAAGACTGGATTTGAACTCAGATCTTGTCTGACTTCAGGTCCAGAACTCTGTGCATTGTGCCACCTCACTGTCCCTAGTTGTAGATAAAGCTTTGGACTTAGAGTCAGGAAGACCTGAATTCAAGTCTTACCTCAAATACTATCGATGTTATCCTGGGCAAATTACTGAACCTTTCTGTGGCTGTTTTGCCATCTATAGAATAGGAATGATAATTGTGCCTACCCCATAGGATCGTTGGGAGGATCAAATGAGATTAGGCAAAATAAATGCTAACTATTGTTGTAATTAATGCTGTTCTCACCCTCATGTCCTCCCCAGTGGGACAGTGACAACATCTACCTCATCATGGAATTCTGTGCCGGGGGCGATCTGTCCCGATTCATCCGCACCCGACGAATCCTGCCTGAGAAGGTGGCCCACATCTTCCTGCAGCAATTGGGTAAAGGCTTTGAACCGGTTGGTTTTGGAAGTAGGAAGAAGAGGCGATCACTGATGGGGATGGCCTGAACCAGGGCTCTTACAATGTCCCCTGGTGCTGGTGGGGGCAGTGAAGAGCCTGGCCTGGCTGGGCAGGGCCTTTAGCTGGGGATTGAGGCGCAGTGGGAGATAAGAAGGGCTAAACGGGCATTGGAGAAGGCCTTGAGTGACAAGATGTCAGGGAGGAGACCTTGTTCTAGCCCTGGCTTTCCTGGAAATCCAAGGTCCTCTCAGGCTCTATTTGTTGGCTCTGGCCTCCCCTCCAGTACTGTGGGAAGCAAGAAGCTTGTGAAGGGGGAGGGGCCCAAGTCCGCCAGCACTGGGAGACCCTCTGCAATTTACTCCTTTGCCCTCCACTTTCTGCTCTGCAGCCAGTGCCCTTCAGTTTCTGCATGGCCGTAATATCTCTCACCTGGATCTGAAGCCACAGAACATCCTGCTGAGCTCCCTGGAGAAACCTCACCTCAAACTGGCAGGTGAGCTCCCAGGGGGCAGGGAAGGATGGCCCCTCCCTTCTCCTCCTCCCTCCCTTCCCCTCCCTTCTCCTTCTCTCTCCTCTCCCTTCCCTATTTCTTCCCTCCCTTCACTATAGCAGAAGATGATTATTGACCAGAGCCTTCACCTGTGGGGATGGGCAGCCCTGAGGAGGCATCCACACCCCCTCTCACCTGGGCTTCCTTGGAAATAATTGCAAGGGAGTTGATTGTGACCAGAGTTAGGCTCTGTCTGGGGTTAGGGGTCAGTCAGTGACTAAGGTTAGCCTGTATGGACAATTAGGAGTCATTCTGTGGCCAAGGTTAAGGGTCACTCTGTGGCTAGGGTTAAGGGTCAGTATGGGGCCAGGATTAGAGTTCGGCCGTGAGGAGGATTTGAGCTCATTTTCGGGCATGGAGATGGTAGCTTTTCTCTGTGGTCAATTCACTGGCCCATATGGGAGTCCTGACCTCAAAGAACTCTGGCCAGGTGGTGTGGGT